TTAGGAAGATAAATTCCTATCAGAATTTATTTTTTAAAGTGTTAAGCATAGAAGTCTTTAATATAGGGTGTGCGAAATTAGCAATGATTCATCATGGCAATGCATACATAGGACAATGACAACAGTATCAATGGGAGTAACTACTTTATATCTGCTTATTGTAATTAAAGTAGAAAGTCATTGCAACCAAAATACAGAAGGTATATGTAATCTATATTGTGAGAATTTCTACAGATGAATAGTAATAATTACCTAAATAAGGTAAAGGAAAATTCATTTGCATCTATTAAAATTTTTTCACTTATTTCTGAAGTAAAATTTAGTTATAATGAATAGAAAACAAAATAATAAAGCTCTTTTCTTTTAAAATAAACATATATTTTTTAAGTTTGTTTTCTAGCTTTAGTCCCTAAGACTAAAATTTGGAAGGGAGCCCAGATTAAATCAAAATGTACTATTTTCTAAGTCCAGTGGATGAACACTACATGCAAACAGAATTCTATTAAGGGCATGTGTATTAATACTATTTTGAAAAAAAAAATTCAAAAGAGAAATATACCATTAAAAATGTGTGAAAATGATGTTATTTGTGGAAGATCTAATTATAATACTAGAAACTAACAAATATAACAAACTGCATTATTCAGCTCTACAGAAGTAATTATACCAAAATTTTTCTAATTATCTCCTATTGCCTCCATAAACAGTCTATATAATCAAGTCCACACTTGGATAGATTCCTTTAGGTAGTATATACTTTAAAGTTACAAATTGAAATGAAATATAACCCTTACAAATGGGAAAATGTTTTCACTAGGTTAAATTCCTTACTTTTACGTCCCCATTTCTTACAGATTCACATATTTAAAAAACAGAATGCACATCTTCTTTATACTTTCTTTTTTATCTTTAAATTTTCAGAAAATGAGTTCATAAATGTATAAATTTAAAATGAATGCACTTTTCATGTAAATTTTACTCTAAATGGACAAATAATAATTTAATTGTGCACACTGTAGTCATCTGTTTCTTATTAAAAGAAAGATGATGCATGTGTATTTAACACAATATATGTTATTAGTGCAAATAAAGATCCCACAGATAAAATGTGCACTGTAAGAACAAACCCACAGCACTAGTATAAAGATGTAGCCTATTTCCGAACTTTCTACACCAGTGGTTAGCAAATACTTTCTATAAAGGGCCAGATAGTAAATACTTTAGGTTTTATAAGCAAGGAGGACATATGTCCCATGACCATGAAGAGCAGCAGCCAACCACAAATAGGAATGAATGAATGTTGTAATATTTGTGAGAGGCACAAAATAGGGAAAGGTCTGGATTTTCTCCCATGAAACAGAATTTGCTAAATCATACTTCCTTAAATCTAAAAATTAAACTTTTAAAATTACTGAATCAACTAAATACTTACTAAATGTTATGAGTTTTAGCGTGTTCTGCTGGAATTACATTTTTATGTATGTTCTTTCTAATTCTTTTGGAAATATATTGTTAAATTGCTAACAGGCTCAGAATAAAATTAATCAGAAAATAAGAAATTAATAAAATAGAAAAACGAAATTATTTTTGTACTTCACAAAGAAAATTGATTAATAATTGGATTATTTGTATACTTAATTAAAATATATTTATTCTTTGGTTTAAAAAATATCAATTCCAATGACAGCTTCAAGGAAGTCTTTCCCATTAGTCTTCAAAAGACAATTTCTCAGTTAAGTAATGTGAGTTGCTGTGAGTAACAAACCTCTTTAATCACAGTGGTTTAGCACAACAAAACTTTTGCCTTTTTTCATTTATTTGTGGTTTCCTCACTCAACACAATGGAGGTACTCTTGTTTTTAGGTATCTCTCTTCCAAAAAGAATGGAGGAGAAAAGAGCAGTTTGATCTATTAAAAACAAACAAAAAAAAAAGGTTGTATAGTATACTTTTATAGATCAAACTGCTAGATTAAAGCTTCTATCATTTTATTTTGGTCTAAACTCATTCACATGGTCTCATCTATATGCAATATAATTAAGCTATGTTTAAGGTGGAAAGAAGAACATATAGCAGGTTCATTAATAAAAGGACAAGTTTTCTAGCTGAAAAAAAATCTATAAAAATATAAATTAGAATGTGTTTTATATAGCACTGCCTAATGTATCTATAGTATGAATTTTATTATGAGATAATATAGAAAATAGAATATACTCTCAGAGACATGAATTTTATCATAGTTTAGTTGTACTTGCTTTTTGTTCTATTTTGTTTATGTGAAATTCCTTTGAACACTTTAGTGTGTTCTTTAAAAGTAAGGCATTGAAAATAAATGAAAATTTCTTCTTTTTATTATAACTTATAGATTAAAATATTCATGATGTAATGGTTGAAATATTTATGATTATTTATAGTTATTATTTCTGTTATATACTCAGTTTTCTTTAAATGTAACTTATTTTACTTCAGAAATTTTTATTTGCAATCATTTATTTTTAATTAAATTTTATATTTTAAAACAGTCTTTTTAAGTTTTTCAAATAGTTGTAAAGATAATACAAGAAGGTCCTATCTGTCTTGAAACTGGTTTAAACCTTGTTATTTATCATAACACATTGTCACAATTAAAGGACCAATATCACCACATTATTATAAACCAAAATTCATACTTTATTTTTATTTTATTGTTTTTAAGGTAATGTTCTTACTTTTTCAAGAAAAATACTTCTGTTCAATGACATGATGACTTTATTTGCTCCCAGATATTATACTACTTTTAGTAGTCATATTTCCTTAGTCTCCTTTTGGTATTTAAAAATCACCTAGATTTTGTTGGTTTTCATGTGCATGACATGTTTGATGAATACTGACCAAGTAGTTTTTAGACTGTTTCACAACTGGGTTTCTTCGTTGATTTTTCTGATGAGTAGAATGAGATAATATATTTCGGGGAGGAGGATTACAAATATAAAATGTCATTTTTCACATTTCATATCAAAATTGTTATTAAAATGACTTATCAATGTTGATGTTAAATTTGATGACTTGATTGAGTAGTGATTATCAGATTTCTCAATATAAAGTTATTCTTCCCTCTATGAGCTCCTCTTTACACATTCGACTCTTTTGGAGGCCAATTACTATCATGCTGCCTGAGCTTAAAGAACAGAGAGTTAGGTTCCACCTCCTTTAATGTAAATTTTTTTGAATATTCTATATAGAAGATTTTCCATTCCTCCCCATTTACCTATTCAATCATTTAATTTTAATCACTAATTACTATGACCTCATATATATTAATTTTGCATTTGGGGTGATAACATTGTTTCTTTTTTTTAAATTTTGTTGCTGAAATTATTATAACTTTAGTCAGTGGCCTTCAGTTATTTCCTTTGTCTCTGACATTATCTCTCTCTCTCTCTCTCTCTTTTAACACTTCCCTATCTTCTAGCTTTACAGGAGTGTCCATGATCCAAAGATCATCTCCAAATCTCATGCCTACACCTGGAACCAAATGGATCTCTGAGGAATGGTGAATAATATGAGTATCGAAGACCTCAGTGCTGGGAAAATTTTATCTTTAAAATGAAAACTGATTTTTATTTACTTAGACCATTCCCTATATATCTTTTAGAATGTATAATCAATAAACATACATTTACATTTTATATACCCAAACATGACAAAATATTTCCTATTATGTGAATATCACATAGAAATTACAATTAAACAATAAGTATTAGTTTTGGCAGGCAACATGGTATTTTTATCATACACCTCAGTAATTTATCTATATTTAATTCAATGAGGTAAATATATTTTTATTTCAATTCAACATCTAAGAAAACTATAACTTAGTTTAACTGCATGCTAAACATATGAAGAGGATTGTATAATCTTCAATTTTTGATAAGTAGTTTTAATAAAATAATGTTCAAAATAAATAGGTTTAACATTTAAAAATGTCTAAATCAATTTAGTTGAAAAGTTTTCAAGTTTCATGGCCTGGGATAAAGATACTAACATTGAAGGAAATATTCAGTGAGTTACTTTGAATATACTATCTTGTAGAATAGTTTATAAATAGGTTTTTATAAGGCAAAATAAGAATTTTTAGATTTTTGAAAAAAATGAAATACTTTTACTGAAGGTAAAGAGTTAAAAATCAAACCTGATAGTAAATAAAAAATATCCATGATTGGCTTAGCATATGCAGTGGTTAGGATAAGTGTCTCCCAAAGTCTCATATATTAAATGCTTGGGCCCTAGGTTGGTGCAATGGAAAGACAGCAAAACTTAAAGAGGTGAGACCTAGTAGGAGGCCTTCTTGTGGATTTAAGCATATCCTTGAAGGAGATAATGTACCCCAGCCACATCTTCTTCCAGTTCCTCTTCAAGACCAAGTCATGAGGTGAACAATCTTTCCTCTGCCACACCGGTGCTCATGATGTGCTGTCTTGCTACAGGCCCAAAAGCAGTGAGGCCAATTGATCATGGACTGAAAATCACAAAGGGAGGCTGCAAATCTTTTTCTTTGTAACTTGATTATCTCAGGTAACAGTTATAATAACAGGAAGCTGAATAACAATGTGTATCAAACTAACTATGGCTACATTCAAAGATTTAAATGATTAGTTTAGGGGGAAATAAGAAAAGAAAAGCTCTCCATTTACATTGGCTAATGGGGGAAATATTTCAAATAAAATAAGATAGACTATAATAGACTTCAGTTTTCATTGTATTATTTGTTTTCTTTGATGGCCTTTCTAAAAGAAAAAAAAAAAAAAAGAAACGCAACTGTTTTTATGGATGTATAAAAAAGCTTATTTCACTCTAGTTTCTGCCTAAAGGATAATTGGTTGGTCATTTTAGAAACTATCTTTAAGAAAATGAAGGACTAATAATGTTGTTGGGAGACTGAAATGAGTTCAGAATAGAGATAGAAATGCTTTTTAAAGAGTTAATTATGTTTGCTTTTTCTTCTCCCTTTGTGTTCATTACCTTTAAATGGAACTATGTATTGGCAGAAATAATTACCTGGTTGGTCAATGCAGGTGGCTGCTTTCTTAAAGGGCTGTGAGGCATACTCATTAGTATGTTTCACATCTTGTAACTTGAAAAATAATGAAAATTATGTGAAGTTTTAATAAGGCAAGCAGGTTACAGTTATGATTCTTAAAATTTCCCAAGCACATTAATCTATTTAGGGGAATTAACTAAGACTAAATTCATTAGAAAGGAATGTCATATATTATTGTCAGAACTCACTTATTTCACCTTATTTGAAACTAATTCTTACTAGAACTAATATGCAGACACATCTTGGAGTTTGTAGGCATTCAAAGTCTTCGTGGATATTAACTACTTTGTCTTATGCTTTAGAGTCTAGAATGGAATAGATGATTCAAATTATTGGGAAAGAAATCAAATGTTAGGATATAGATAATAAAAATTAATGAGATAGATATAATGGTGAATCAATAGCATTTTTATGTATATCACTGAAGGCAAAATGTTCTTTGTAAGCCACAGTTATTAAATGCTATTTAGTCATGAATCCATGGGAACAGGGACATTTGGATCTACCCGTGAGCTTTATACATGTTATGGAGCCAGGATGATGAATCACATGTCTTTCTATAAATTTCACAAATTAAGACTATGTGGAAGAAAAAAAAAAGTTTATATACATTAACTATATTGTCTTAGTATTTTCTTTGGCCCAGTTCTCTGTTTCAGGTTTTCCATTATTATTGCACCCTTAACTTATTTTGATAAATTTGACCTTCCATATTACAACACTTAGATTGTTAATTTCCTGAGTTAAAAAGCATAACCTAAACTGACACTAAATTGACTCTTATAAATAATGACAGGTAGTTTTCTTATTAATTTACAGCAAGAGAAGAAAAATTGACATTGACATATGATACAAATTATTCACAAATGATATGAATAGATATATTACCTCTATTGTTAAAAGTTATCTAAAATAGTGACAATAAGTTGGGCAGGAGGAAAAATGTATAATTTTCAGCTAAATAGGAATGATCATACTAAACTACATTGGAAATGCTGCTTTTATCACCAACAAAATGAAAATAAAACACAAAGTAATAAAAGCACAAATGGTTTTACAGTTAAAAAAAATGAAAAGGCAAATGGAAATTCAACTATAGAACATTAAGTTAAGTTGAGGGAGAAAAAAGTAAAAATTAAAAACATATATGAAAGTGAATGAATTCTTATTAAAACTTAAATGTATTTATTCGGTCATGCATATTATGCATCAAACTTGTAAGAAAAGAAGTCACAATTACATACCCAGTTAATTACAACAGTAAAAATAGGTATTGAAAACTAAATATATCTATTTTTGTGCCTAGATTAATATGTAGTAAAGCAATTCTAACATATATTTTATATTCAAACATTCTAGAGAATAAAAAAATTGCAGAAATTAAATATTCAAATATTCTTCTGGAGAATTCTTCTGTTGACTACATTAACTTAATATATTAAGCTCTTATTTCTTAGTAAAATGCATATCCTCTTCTGCCTGAAGACATAAAATATTGGTCTTCAAATAGTTGTAAGTTGCAAAATAGGAAACTTTGGAAAAGAAATATGAAATTTTAGCTTTAATTTTTCTGTTAATATTTATATATTTAAAATAATGTAAATGTTGATGGCTGGATATCACTTTATAAACTCTTAGATAAAGCAGAGAACACTTAAATATACTCACATTAATACAATTGAATGTAATAAAGTCAGATAATGATAATATAAATGCAAAGTCTAGGTGATAGAATCTGGTAGGTAGAAAGGATGAACTGGTAGAGAGGTAGGTAGAATAGTAAAGTCACCTATATTTTTAAATTAATAAAATCCAAGATAAATTATGTATATTTTATTAAAAAATAAAATTTAATGCATTAAGTTAATGTGGTTGACAGAATTAAATTAATATTTAATTTAGTGATATTATTAAATTAATAATAATCATCAATACGAACTATTGAGAGAAAATTGAGGAAAGGTGGTTTCAGTGATAAGTGAGAAAAGATTTATCTTTCACATTGAACAGCCAACAAATAACATACGTAGTTGTATCACAAATTTCAAGATGGATATATAAGCAAATTAAAGAAGTAACAGAGGAAATGAAACAAGGAACTATTTAAAAATATTTCTTCTGAAGAAGTAAAATCAAGAATCAATAAATGGGATGGTATCCAACTAAAAATCTTCTTCACAGCAAAGGATACAATCAGGAATATGGACAGAGAGCCTAAAGAATGGGAGAAAGTCTGTAGTTCTCTATCTTAGGTGCGGGTGATACATCTTAATCTCCAGGATATATAAAGAACTCAAAAAACTTAACAAAAAACCAAATACCCAATCAATAAATGGGCAAAGGAACTGAACAGACACTTCACAGAACAAGTATGATTGGTCAACAAATATATGAAAAAATATTCAACATCTCTAGCAATTAGAGAAATGCAAATTAAAACTACACTGGAATTTCATCTCACTTTACTCAGAATGACAGTAAATGTTGGTGAGGATATGGGGAAAAAGGTACACTCAAACATTACTGGTGGGAATGCAAATTGGTGAAACCACTCTGAAAAGCAGTATGGAGATTTCTCAGAAAACTTAGAATAGAACCACATGTGATTCAGTTATTCCACTCCTTGGTCTATACCCAAAGGACTTAAAATCAGCATATTACAGTGATGCAGCCACATCAATGTTTATAATAGCTCAATTCACAATAGCCAACCTACAGAACCAAACTAGGTGTCCTTCAGCAGATGAATAGATAAAGAAATGTGGTGTGTATACACAATGGATTATTACTCAGTCATAAATAAGAATGAAATTATGGCATTTACTGGTAAATGGATACAACTGGAAAATATCATGCTAAGTGAAAATAAGCCAGTTACTCCAAACCAAAGGCCAAATATTTTCTCTGATATGTGGATGCTAATACACAACAAAGGAAGATGGGGAGGGGAAGAAGATTAGATTACACAGTGGGAATGAAGGAAAGTTGGGGAGGGAAAATAGGAACAAGGAATATAGAATTAATCAGACATAGCTTTTCTAACCTTGAATTGTAATATTCAGCCAGAGTAACTCTGCATCATGTATAACAACAAGTATAGTATCCAACTTAGAATAAGTTATAAATAAGTTATAAATATATTTCATGTATTTATAATATGCAAAAATACATTCTACTGCCATATATATCTATAAAGAACAAATTAAAAAGAGTTTTCTTCTGTCAGACTTGAAGGTAAGATCTGGTTTGGGAATATGGTTTTTTTATTAGAAGCTCTTTTGATTTTATTTCAATGTACACATTAGTTTAAGGTATCTGTGGACCTCCCAAGTGTTTATTCATTAATTAATCTCATCTTTTTCACCAAACTTTTTTATTGATACATATAATCATACATAATAGTGGGATATTATGTGATATCACATATGCACATAACATAATTTGATTGATATCACTCATCAGAACCTTTCGTTTCCCTCCCCTCCTACCTTCCCCTGAACTCCTTGTTCTACTATACTAATTTCCCTTCTATTATTTATTATTTTAATATTATTATTTTAATTAGTTTGTTATAAATCTGTGAGATTCAAAACATTATTTAATTTTTGATACGTTGCAATTGTTTTAGTAACATTTATAAAAATGTTCTGTTATAAAATATTGTAAGTAGATAGGTATTAACAAAGTTAGTTTTTGAAATTCATAAAAATGACTAGTATATTTTTCTGTAATATGTTCAACCATTCTTATAATATTTCATGAAAACTATTCAATCAGACAAAAGAAAGAAGTTTCATCATTACAACAAACTCATTTCACTATCTTTTAGGATTGATTTATAGCCAATGCCTCTACTTGAATAAATAGACATTTTTCTATAATAATGGTTTATTACAAGTAATGAATAGTATACCAGCAAAAATAAGGGATTTAACAAGAGATAAATAAAAAATATAGGAAAATGAACTCCTTTGTGAAAATATTAAAAACCAAAGAATGGTGAAATATCCTTATCAATCTCTAACAAATTTAATACATATCATATATATAATAAATATATATAAGAAATAAAAATATATATCTGTATTTGTTACCTATCTTCGGGAGAGCCTACAGGTGGCATTTTTATTCAGTTCACTCATGAATACAATAGGTAAATGCCATGAAGGTGATAGCATGATTTCCACCTTATTAAAAAAAAAGAAAAAAACTGCTTTCTTTAACTATAAAAAAACATGGTGTTTTTGTACATCTTGTGCTGTTATTTTAGATACAAGGGATTTTCCCAATAAAGTTCTCTGAAATTGCCCATTTCTGAGTTTATATATATCTAGGTCAAACAAGAGTTTATTATTATTATTATTATTATTATTATTGGCTTTCTTTTTCTTCTTCTTTTTTTTATTAGTTTCTCGTGACAATACAATGATCTTGACATATCAAATGGGGTATAATTTCTCATTTTTCCAAGTGTACAGGTTGCAGAATCACATTGGTTACACAGCCACATATATACATATCTAGGTCAAACAAGATGGACCACAATTACACAGTGTTTATATGTTTACATCTACCCACTTCTGCAATTCCACAAAAACTTCCTGACACAAGTAATATTCTTGTCTACATTTTAAAAGTGGAACTTAAATGGATAGAGGTCATATACAGCTTTCTATTTCTCTCATCTGATAAGTCACAGAAATATAACTCAAATTTAAGTAATCTACTGTAGGAATTTTCATTTCTTATGTCATAAACTTTAATGGGATCTCTTATTCCATGAAATCACCCTACATATTTCTGTAATTCATGTGTCCATAGAGTGATTCCTTTGGTTGTCAAATATCATGCATTTCCCCCCTCATCTCTGCTGGTTTCATCTTCCTGTAAACATGCTAGCTGTTATAGGTATCTTGAATCCATAAAATCTTAATTAAGGATACCTATCAAGCATCAACCCCAAGCAGCTGCAGTAGGAATTCCAGATTTCTTGGTGACTTCTAATTATCATAACAAATCAGCAATCCCTGTAGTCATCTACCTGCCCAGGTGTATACAACAGCCTGGCCTTTCTTGAAGAAAATCTGAAAGCACATGAAATCAATGAGAAATCTTAGATTCAAGTTGGAAATAGAGGAGGTGAAAAGTGGTGTGTTTTATAAAGTGAGCTCAAGAAAATGTAAAAAAAAAATGCTATACCTAAAGACCTATCACTTTCATTGGGCCATTATTATGGCTCTAATATTTCTAGCATGATTTCAGAGCAAAAGTGTGCCCATTATATATGATATCCAAGTTTTTTTTTATATAAAAAATATTATTGACTCATGAGAAAGAACAAATGCTCTTGACACTAAGACCAAAAAGAAATACAGCTAGAGGGGCCTCCTATAAAGAACAAGAGTAAATTTTCTAAGATATTCATGCATATATTAAAAGAAGATTTTTATTATCAGTGCTTGTTAAAGATACCTTCAATATAATCTGTTTTAATACACACCAAAATTCAAGCCAGGGAAAATAATTCTGTAGGAATTAAACACATTTGTAAAAAATTAACTATGTTTAGAAATGTATCATGGAATATCTGAAGAATAAGAGGATTCCAACCCTCCTTATAAGGTACTTTCCCATATCTCAGTTTAACTTTTGATAAATATTGGTTAGAAAAATGTTTTAGATTATACTCACCAATACATACTGTGGGAGCTGGTGCTTGGCTTTTCTAATGAAGACAGCAATCACCAGGACACATGCTTTAGCAAACAACAGTGTTTACACAAATAATTAAAATAAGCTCTCAGAACTTTGTGGGAACTTTAAGATCACATAATTTTGAGATACTTATTGCCAATGTAAAAACTCATTGCCTACAAAGTTAAACACACTACACAGATTTTATTCACAGCCATCACAATGGAGGAGAAAGAATAGACCCCCATATGAGACAGTTTTAAAGAACTGAGTTGGGAGAACTCATAGGCCATATGTGTTTGCTATTTGGCTCTACTCCAGAGAAAGATAACTTTACTCAATCTTCAAGATGGGAATCAGCTTTACAACTGGGATCCAGATGCTTACTAATGTTAACCTCTTACTGAAAAGGTACTATTTTTATTAATGATTTCAAAGAGATGGGACACAGTTCCCTCAGGAAGGTAGTTTTGTGTGTGTAAAACTGATAAGAGGACTTTAAAAAGATGAATGCTTTTTGAGGGCAGAGAAAAGCTTTTAAAAATATGGATTCTGAAGTAAATGCTCTCAAATAGGAAGGGGAGACACCTCTGTATTTAGGCCATTTGGATTGTTTAAAGTGGTTGTCTGAGAAGGTCATGGACCAAGGGCAGGAGGAAACATGCCTAAAGTATTGTGAAGCTGTAGGAAACTTTAAAGTTGTCTTGTGACAGACGAGATATTAGGAAGATTCATACAATCCTTCAGTTTTCAACTTTCAAAAGAAAATAACCAGGTATTTATTTATATTCTTGTGGTGAGCCGTTCCTATAGACCGTGGCCGCCATTAGAAGATGGCGCCGGCTTCCACTGTGGCCTGTGATAAACAACTCCTTTTATGGAGAGTTGGCACGTAATCCCTTATCACCCTATGAGAAAGATCCATGTGGCGGCTTAAGATTGGTATGCGGGAGGCTTTATTAGGCTATGCTTGGGCGCTCAGCGGAGGGGTCGCTAGAAGATGATACATGAATCAAGGCCTGAATAAACTGCTGAAAGAAGAATCCTGTGTCGTGTTTTCCCTTGCCGGCGAGGGGTCGCGACATATTCTTAAGATGATAATCTTCTGGTTTTCTAGTGAAGTCTGAGAAACATGGATGGCTTAGTAAAATCCATTCTCATTCCTACACCCAGTCTTGTCTTCTCAAATAAATCTCTGAGATATCTGATACCAGTTTTCCTAAATCAACCTGAATTCTACAGTCTTATCAGCTCATGTTACTAAAATAATAAATAAATAAGTCATTAAATCTTAGTTATTTCAGGCTTCACTTGCTTTCTACCCCTTCTGACTAATTCTCACATGGTCTATTGAAGCAGTCCTAACTAACAAGGATAGAGATTTATGGTCTCACACATAAAAAGGGTCTGAGAAGATATCAACAAATAAGGTATTTATCTGCTTTTTGATTTTCAAATTTGACACTTTAATTTAAAATTTCAGGCAAATCTTGGTTTTTAAATCATATTATATCTGTGTTAATATACATTCTCTCTTAAAGTACAATGAACATAAATCTGTAGAGGGGAAACTTGGCAGGCCAAGATGACGCCTTGATCACTATTGCAACTTTCCCTAAGCCTTATATTTACCCTCTAAGGCACGGTGTTCTAGATGGAGCACTTCAGGGTAGTAAACAAGGACACCGCATACTATTGACTTACTTGGCTTACTATGCAGAGAATATGTGAAGTTACTCCTGCTAACTTTATACTCATTGACAAGTCTTTTCTCTTGCTCCTTGCCTTTTATCCTCTTTAATCTATGGGGATCATGTATTATAAATTTCAAAGTAGCCAGAATAGAGGATTTTGAATGTTGTACCAGAATGAAATGATAAATGTTTAAAATATTGGTATGCTAGTTATGCTGGGAAAAAAAAAAGAAAGAAAGAAAAGCTCACAGAATCATCTACAAAAACATCATCCAGGGGCTGGAGTTGTGGCTTAGTGGTATAACACTTGCCTGTCATGTGTGAGGCCCTGGGTTCAATCCTCAGCACCGCATGTAAGTAAATAAATAAAATAAAAGATCCATTTACAGCTAAAAAATATATTTTAAAAAAACAACAAAGTATCCACCTAACTTTCAAATACTTGATCAAAGATGATATAAGATAGTTTCTTCCCTGTTCATTCCATCAAAGGTAGACATTTCTAAATTTGTTGCTGTTTATAATTTCCACAGAAGTCAGTTGTATATGTGTGTATATTTTTCATGGAAAAAATATAGGATTACAAAAAGAAAATCCATTATAGTATCCCTGCCACTGACACACATTAATCCTCAAAAATATTTGTTAAATTAATAAAAAATTAACAGTGACTAAATACACACAAATAACAATGGCATTGTGTCTGCAAAATATCAAAAATAATTTTTAGTCCAGTTTTGGATGAATAACTAACAAAATTCTAAAATTCCAAGTGATATAATGAGTATTAAAAATATTGCCAGAAATAGAATTTGTGATTGATTTTTAAAGTATCTTTTTTTAGTTGTAGATGGACACAATACCTTTATTTTATTTATTTATTTACATGTGCTGCTGCTGATTAAACCCAGTGCCTCATACATGCTAGGCAAGTGCTCTATCACTGAGTCACAATCCCAGCCCTATATGTGATTGATTTTTAAAAATTTCAAACTGTGTTCCACATGACTGACAACAGTAAGTTGCATTGAAGTGGTACATATACATGATTTTAGAGCTTTTATTCCAAAGTGTAGATGGAATTTACATAAAATTTGTTTGACTCAGTGAGCTGTAAACTATGTTTGACAATCAAATTATTAAGCATACCTCATTTGAATACAACCAATAATATAACACTCATGATTGTTTTTAAAATTCTGAGTTTCTAGGTAAACAAAATAACATTCTACATATTTTATTGTTTAAATAGTTTTAGGTTTAGAGCCATGATGGACAGAAAGTACTGAGCATTCCCATGTATCCTCTGTCCTTTGCCCTCACACACACATAATACCCCCCATGAACACCACCACCATCTAAGCATTGCATTTGTTCTAATTGATAAATCTACATTAATACATACAACTTTTTTTTTTGTATTTACACTATTGCAGATTGAACACAATGGTGTTCCACTAGTGCACTATATTCCATTCACCTTAAAATACATATACTTTTAAGAAAGGTTTCCTTTTCCACATTTAATATCAGCTTCTTGATGATTATTATTTCACTCATATGTCTTAAACTGCTTGCATCATAAGCCAAGTCAAACTGTGATGCATTTCTCCCAGAGAAGTCATACTTTAGGAATGATTCACTGATGAAAAAGCAATCCAGATAATAACAGTTCTTCTTCATACATAGTAATCTCAAGTGTTTTATAATTTCTTTATTCTGTGATTTAAAATACTTCATATTCTATATTCTTTTGTAATTTGTCCTAAACCCTGAAAGTTGTTGATTCTATGGAAGTGAATTGTAAAAACTGTGAATTTATGCCTTGGAAGCTGAGAAGCAAATACCTCATACCTTAGACAAAGGGGTTGAATAGGCAGGAAGGAAGGGTCTACCTTATGTGTCTAGATAGAAAGTTTGCTATTTAATCTTAATGTCTACATGTAGACTCTACCACAGAGCCCAGAAGCTAGGCCTAGAAGAAGCTGACTGTCTGCTGACTTGATTACCTGGGCAATTGAGCCCTCAGGGAGCCACTGGGCCTGTTTGTCCTGGTCAAGAGTCCATGTGTGCTGAGCCTGCACATTATCTAATCACGTGATGGAGAGAATAAGTTAAGAAAGCAGATGAAAACGAATACACAAATAAATCAGAGGGTCTTTCTTATGAATTGAAAATGTTCTCATAATTGTGATACATTTTGTTGACTAAAAATATTTGCATTGCTACATAGAAGCTCTTGATTGGTTAATGATGATTGAATTTTTTTAGTCTTAAAGAATAAATCATAGGATCTACTTATGTAGAATTCGTGTTTTGGAAAGCAGTAACTTTTAAATGAAAATACACAAAGTCAGATAAGTATCAATTCCTCTTTACAGTATTGCCATTCATGTTTATCAAACTTTTAGAACTGATGATGGGCCTTATAAACTCCTATTTTTTTTACAACATACAAAATAATATGTCACATGTTTTAGTTTTAAATGTCTTCTTTTCCTTCCATCTTTTTCTATGTTCATTTCTATAAGGACCTAACCAATAAATGTCATGATACTGGCTATTTGGGGATATTTATAGATAAAATTTAATGGCATTAATACAAAATAACCAGATTAACTACTTTTGTTTATTTGTTTTTCAAATTTTTTAGTTCAATTAATTCAATTGCAGTGGAAAAATAGGGCTAAGGACCTATTGTTGATGATAGGGCATTTCCAAAACAGCACAAAAGCTTGGGTTAATATCAACTCATTTTATTCTTGTTCCCACCCAGGACCCCATATTAATACATCATTAATAAAATAATCTAAGTGTTCTAATTAAATGTTACTTCTGTCATTGTTCAAACATGAACATTGTTATTATAATTGATAAGATTAATTTAGTGAAATTATGTAAGTTTTTAAAGCTATGAGCTACTTAAATGTTAGAAATTATCTCTGATTGTACTGTTAGCAAATTTGAACCTATTTCCAGGTCATGAACAATTGGTAATAACAAGATTACTCTTGGTAATTATACACTTGCAGATTTTCTAATAGTCTATCAGGTGGAATAACAATATGGAAACCCATTTTCCTATAATGCTTAGTCTCAGAAATGAGTACTTTTACTATATAATGAAGCAGGAGTTTATTAGGCATGCCATCAGACTTGAAAGGAAAAGTACAACAGACCTATTTCATGGTACAGTAGACTTTACATCAGAGAGCACTTCAGAAAGGAGCTATTAGATTTACAGAAATAATCTCGTTTCAGTTTTTAGTCAAAATTACAACACATTCAAAAGACTGAGTACAAATTGATTCAAGCTTGAATTCATCAGGGAAGCTATCTAAATTGGTTTGATTTTATGCTTTCAAATC